CGATGTTGGGCTCAGGCTTCAGGAATCTTGGGCTCAACAGGCCCCACTCTGCTCCTCTGTTCCCACATTTCTCTCATCCATTGGCTTTGTTCTGCCTCCACTTTGCCAATCTATTGTCTTGGCTCCTCAGGCCACATGGTGAAATGTGGCTACCAACAACAATTAGTTTAACCACCTTGACAGAAATTGACCCTTTCTTTCAATTTCAGTTCTCAAATTCCCAGGGAAGAGGGCTGATTGGCCCAGCCTGGGGATCAGGTACCCCTGGACCAATCAGTGATAGCTATAGGGTCAGGGGGTGGGACAGGAAATCACTTTCTCATAGCATGGTAACTCTCACTCCAAGGGAAATGCGGGTGAGAGGGAGATGATCCAGAAAGAAAGTGCCTAAGCATCACTGCCCTTGGTGACAGACTAACCCCTTGGACGCTCATTCTTGCAAGATGTAGCTATATACAGTGGGCTTTAGTTCCCCTCCCTTCCTTTTATTCTGGCACTTTCTCGCTGATGCCTTCTCCACAGTCATTTCCACCTTTCATAAGTCTCTCTCTGGTTACCTGCTTTAAGCTGATCATCAGGGTTTGCATCCTCTAAGTGGATGGAGTTTTCCTAAGGCCAGCTCTTCTTAGGAAGATGGATTCAATGAGAATGGATGGATAATCTCTCTCTAATGCACATCTGTGGTCTGGGAAGACCTGGGTTTAACAAAAAACTATTTTGGTTAGAAGGAAAAATTAATATTGACTGACTCCAATACAGAAAAAGGAAGCAGATATTAAGCTCATTTTGAAAGAGAGTTCAATTTAGGGGCAGCCTAGGTAAGCTATTTTGGTTAAAAGGGAAAATTAATATTGACTGACTGAAATCCAGAAGGAGGCAGCGGATATTAAGTTCATTTTGAAAAATAAGAGTTCAATGTGGGGGCAGGCTAGGTTCTACCCTTTTGAGATGTTTGCCAGGGATAGGAGTCATATTTCATATTCAAATTTCAGGTACTTTTCATGACCATGGACAGTGTTTTCTTTACAGTGTGTGTATCTTTATTTCCCTCCTGTGTTCTCTCTTTTTTTTAACCATTTAATTTTCCAAATTCTATTCTGATAGAAGCAATATGTTTCACATAACTTATATCTAATCCTGTTTTTCTTATAAAAGATACTTGCTGGTTCTGTTTTGCTTATCCCTGAGGATGAGTTAATGGCATTTTAAAAACAATACATATCTTGGTGCTTACTTGGAAGTTGTCGTAGAGATCCATGTCGGAGGAGACAGACACCTGTCCCTTAAAGCATTTGGGTGCATTTACTGTGACCTCCAGCCTGCCAGGCTTAATGCTACTCTTCGGGTCTTTGAATGACCTTCAATAGCTATCGACCCAGAAATCTTGCTGTGAATTACAATCCATGTGTAACAATCCCTACTTTACCTCTTCAGTTTTCTCTCCTTTTATTCCATCCTGGTATTTTCTCATGGGTTGCAGAAAAGGCTGGATAAAGCCCTGAAGCTGCTTTTGTTGAGGGGTTCACTGGGTTGGGAGACCCAGTTTAAGAAAGGTCGCAAATTAAATATTGACTTCCCCAGAAGTAACATGAAAGATGAGTAAGTCCTGGCCTGAATTTTAATATCAAAGACAGTGTTTGTTCAGAGAACACACACACGGCGGGGCTGGATCACTCAGAATCACATCCCAGTTCTGAACTTGAACTTTCTTATCTGTCCAAAATCAGCATGGCTGTGTAAACAGACAGGGATTCCATAGCTCTTGGCCCATAGGTGGCAGGTTCTAATAAGGAAAAGCTACGTACTTACACTGTATTTATCTTGAATGCTGTAGATCTCAAAGTACCTTCACACACCTCATGCCACTGGATCCTGATAGTGATAACAACACCTATTTTCACCAGTGAGAAAATTGGAACTCTCAGAGGCTAGAGCGGTGAGTTTCAAGCTTTTAAAAAATCTCACATCACACTTGAACCTCTAGTTAAACTTCTGTGGCACACTTAAATTATGTTGATCAAAAAAAAAAAAGAGTAAAAAAAAAAGAATATAATTACTGTGCTTTAAACTTCTTTCAAGAATGATTTAATTAATGAGCTTTAAAATTTTTCGTGGCACACCTAAGATCCTCTCATAAGACACTAATGTGCTGTGACACACCAGTTCAAAATCACTGGGCAAGAGTCTGGGTGGCCAATGCACCTCCGTTTTTCCTGACTCACCTGCTGACCCAGCCTGGGAGGCTGGCACATTCAGATGTTTTCTGTGAGGAGACTTCCTGGGACAGGTTACTGAATGAACGTCCCCTGGAGGATCACCTGGACACTGCCTTGTCAGTCTTGGGGCCAGGAACATGGGGTGACCTCTTTGGGGCAGGTGACCTGCTGTGGTTTCAGTTCATTCAGAAACCTATAACCTGCAATTTCCATCTAGAGATCACCCTTGGCCAGGGAGCAAGAGGACAACCTCTGAGGGCCAACTGGCTGGATCGGGACCTTCCATGCCCGCTCATAGACCTGAGCCCATTACGTACGCACCCTGAGCCCCCTCAAAGGGGGGGCTGATGATATCTGCCTCCCTTTTTGACTTGCAGTTAGGATTCAGTGAGAAAAGGCAGATGAGAGTTTTAGCAAGAACCAGGGCCAGCATGAGCATTGACAAATATTGTTATTATCGCCTGCAAAGTGGGTAAGATTATACGCCGCTTCCTACCTCTGAGGTGTCTGTTGAAGAACAGCGGTTTTGTGTCTGTGAACGGCTGTCCGCACATGTTTTGACATGAACAGAGGATACTATCAATAGGGGTCATTAACCAGGGTGACAGGTGAGGAAATGATCTTACCCCTGCCTGTGTGCTGTGTCCTTGAATGTCACAGAAAATCACTGTGCTGATACTCATGTCCTCCGAGGGGAAGAAGTCACAGGAAGTACCTGCTTCTGCCACATCTCCCATCTGATTTTGTGACCGCTCCAGAGGCTTCACCTCTTGCATGCAGGTGGCTCCATTTTATAGGAAAGGAAGTTGGCTCTCTGCCGAGGGCATGGCAGTGACTCACCGTCTCTGGTGACTCGGTGGATGGACGCAGAGCTCTGACTGACCCCAAGTCCAACACTTTTGGGCTGACTCTCAGGGGAAGTTTGGAGAAAACCTGACAGAACACAGAGGGAAATAGGAGCCCAGGGAGGGCAAGGAGGCAGATTTGGGCTATTTCTCTCTTGAACATGGAATCAGGGGGACATGCATGGTGGCTCACACCTGTAATCCCAGCACTTTGGGAAGCTGAGATGGGAGGATCACTTGGGGCCAGGAATTCAAGACCAGCCTGAGAAAGAATGAGACTCCATCTCAACACAAACTAGAAAAACTCACCAGGCATGGTGACATGTGCCTGTAGTCCCAGCTATTCAGGAGACAGAGGGCGGAGGATCATTTGAGCTTAGGAGTTTGATGTTGCAGTGAGCTATGATGACACCATGGCACTCTCTAAAAAAATGAAAAAATGGCATCATGGAAGAAATTTGACCTTCTAAAAGTGGAGGATAAAGTCATATTGAAGTGGAGAAACACCAGTAAGGAATCTCAAGGTCAGACCCACAGAGCTGAGGTGTAATCTGGGGCAAGGGAGGGGGTAGCAAAAGGCACAGTCGGAGATGATCAGAAACCAACCGTGAAGAATCCACAGAAACTCAGTGACACACCCCTGGCCCCATGTTTGTCAGGCAGATAGCTGGGAGCTTCTTTCACCTCCAGCTGGGAACTGTGGGAGAAGGTAGGGCAGGTAGTACACGCCAGGGTTCAGGGTTCCCCACTGTGACCCACCCGTCACTAGCCAGGTTGCTTGGGACAACCCCTGCCTCCCTGTGGACCTGTCTGTATCTGTAAGAGGAAGAGTAAGATTCCACTCGCTCACTCATGTAACAGGTATTTATTGAGCAATGTATGTGCTGGGCATTGTTCTGGATGCCGGGGGATGAGTGATTTTCATTTCAGAACAGATAAAAATCTCTTCCTTCCTGGAGCTCATGCTGGAGTGGATGGCCACCAGGCGGCTTCCCGCTCTCCCTGGACTTGTGTTGTTCTGCCCCCTCAATGGTGCCCCATGCCACCACAGGCCACGCTTTTGTCAAACTGGCCTGCCAGTTGTCTGGAGACTGGCAGGAACCTGCTTTCTCCTTTTAATTGACATAGAAAAGCCTCACACTGATGAACACACACATGTAAACAGCACCCATACTGGGAAATAAAATGTGACCCACACTCCAGAAAGTCTGTATGGCCCTTCTGGTCCCTGGTGTTCCTACCACCGGGAAATCCATTTCCAGACCTCTCATGCCAGGGATTAGTTTATTTTAGCTCTTTAGGTGCCTTTTGTGGGTTGGTTCTTAGTGATATATCCGTGAGTTTTATTCATGTTCCTTCCCATGGTCATGGCTCTTGTTCATTCTCATTGTCATGTAGCATTTCATTATATGAACACTCAACTTATTCTATTTGGATGTATGGATTATTTCCTGTTGGAGTTGTTACTAAACAGTACTGCTGTGAACAGCGTGTGGATCTGTCTTTGGTGCACATGCGTGCATTCCCAGGGAAGTTGCACTGTCCTAGGATGTGCGTACACTCGGTTCTAGGAGACTGGACCAGTTTTCCACAATGGAGTGCAGAGTGGGCTCCCACCAGCTGTGTGTGGTAATTGCTGAACACTCGGTTTCTTTGACATTGTAGCCATTCTGGTGAGTGGGAACTGGTATTTAAGAAAATTTCCCAGAGGATCCTGTTGTTCCACTTACATAAGATAGTGAAGCTATCTGTCTGCCCAGTTCTTTCCCTCAAAGACATGGGAGCTTTCTTGGAATGAAACAACTATTTGTCTATCCAGTTCTTTCCTTCAAAGTCACGAGGGCCTTCTTATGCACCCCCATCTCATGGGTTGTGAAGTCAAGAGATACTACTGTCCAAATTTCTAACATAACCCCTCCTTGGCTTTGTATTTCCCCAGTAAGAAGAAGAAAAATGTCACAGGACAATCAGTTAAGACCACACGGGACCGAGTACCTACCTATCAGTATAACATGAACTTTGAGAAGGTGGGCAGGTGCATCATCATAAACAACAAGAACTTCGATAAGGTGACAGGTGGGTGTGTGGGCGAGCGTGGCCGTTCCTGTTCCCTTGTGTCTTCTCTAATTTGGAGCAGACATTCATCAGAGAGATGCACTTACTGGGACAGACAGCCTGTCCCTCCGAAGGAGGAATGGGAATGTTCAGGGGGAAGGGGAGGCAGGGAAGTGGAGAACCTTCAGTCTAAGGTCCAGTCCTCTGTGTTACCTGAAATGGGACTTGAAGCAAAGGGCTGAGAAGCGAAGGGGAGCTGTTTGGCTTTGACCAGAGCAGGAAGCTACCCTGAGGAAGCTCCTCTGCCATGGGCAGACTGAGTTAGCAGCCTCTCCTTTGAATTTGCTTCTGGTTTTCGTTCAAACTGTGACCTTGAATTTGAATTTAAGTACTCCCTCACCTGGCCTGTGGACACCCTCACGTGGTATTCGGCTAGAGATTGCTCAGCTGTGGGCCCCGGCTTGATTCCCACAGGTATGGCGGTCCGAAACGGAACCGACAAAGACGCCGAGGCCCTTTACAAGTGCTTCCGGAGCCTGGGTTTTGACGTGGTCGTCTATAACGACTGCTCTTGTGCCAAGATGCAAGATCTGCTGAAGCAAGGTGAGCCTTTCCCACTCCTCTGCCTTCTTCTGCCCCCAAGAGGAGCAGGGCCCTGCTGGCCGGTCTCAGGAGGATGTCTTCACCGGGCAGAGGGACTTCAGCCTGAGAAGCCTGCCTCTCTCTTGCTCTGGTCCATTCCTGCCCTAGGGTAGCCAGGTCTCTCAGGGTCTTGCTGTAAAAAGATGAAATCACCTTAAATTCCAGCAAGAGAAACAGGTTCTGCATATGGAAAATGGCCACAGTTTCAAAAGGCTAATTCCTGGGAAGTAACTTTTCCCTGGTGGCAGTTAGACAATAGGCCCATGTACGTGAGAACTACTTTTTAATGTAGCATGTTCACAGAATTATTTCTTTAATATTTTTTGTCCTATCTTTAACACAGCCCCCACAGTGTTGGCCAACAAAATGTTTTTATGACCATTTTCTATGTGAGGCTGAAACTTCAGAGAGGAGAAAAGACATACTGAAGTTGTCATTAGTAGGAGCAGAATTGAAATCCACAGCCTCTTCCCCGTCCACGACCAATGCATCTCCTGCTGCAACAGCCTATCTAATGGACGCCGCAGGCTACTCTGGCATTTAGAGCAATTGTTTGAAAGTAATATCTTCTCTTCATTCATTAGACACAGGCCCACAGGCAGTGGAGGGGAACTCAGCTCAAATCACGGCTGCTTTCTTACCTACGCAGCTAAATAAGAAAAAGACCACACTCCCTCTTTATTTTCTTTTAAAGTAGGCATCTTTTCCTAATTTCTTCAAACATCAGTCTGATAAGCTGACGTTTTGTATTCTAGTAGGTCATCAGATAAATCAGACAAGAAATCAAGAGTCCAAGTTCTGGGTCTGGCCCAATTTCTAACAGCTGGGCGACCCAGGCTGATTTATTTTTGCTTTCCTGAAACGAAGGTCATGACTGGGGACAGAGTCAAGATTGGAGAAGTATAATGGCTTCTGTAGGCATAAGGACTTGTCCCAATTGTAGTTTCTGTTCTTGTGCGCAAATCATTCCACCCATGCCCAGAGCATGTCACAATCAGAAATTCGTGTTTATTACCTTATCAAAACAGTAAAGCAGTTATTTTTCTTGACTGTATGTGTAATCACTTCCAGTGAGGACAAAACTCTCATCTCTGACTCTGTCCTAATTCATCTGATCTTAAAATAAGCTAAGAATTCCAGCTTTCATCACCATCATCTTTTACCTGTATTATTGAAACTAATAACAAAATTCATCATGCAGACTGATGCAGCAGCATCTTGATGATTACAGTAGGAGAGACCACCCTTGGTCTGTTTGGAGCCAGTGAGGCAGCAGGGTGTCCTGGGCTTGAACCCTGACTCCAAGCTTCATCAGGTTGTGGCTACCTCTGGGCAAGGCTACAAAATCTTTCCAAGATGCCATTGTTTTTATTAGTGAAATAAAGATAAATGAGGCCTGTATACATTTCACAGGGGTAGGTCCTTATGGGGGCTAAAGTTAACTTACATAAAGCACCTACATCAGTGTCTGCACATAGTAGGTGCTCAAGAAATTCTAAGTATGATTCTTCCTCCATAATAGATCATAGAGAAGAAAGGACATGTTTGTTAGCTAGTTAGTATCACAGAACCTTAACTGAGTGGAAGCTGGCTTCGTGATTTGTGATTTCTCTCTTCAGCATCCTAAGTGAACAGCCAATCTTGTATTTCTTTTTCTTTCTTTGTCTGTTTTCTCAATTGTAGTAAAACGCACATAAGATCTACCACTGACACCACTATGTGTCGGTCAGTGGCATTGAGTACCTTCCCGTTGTGTCGTCATTGCTGCCGTCTGTCTCCAGAGTTCTTTTCATCTCGTATAACTGAAACTCTGCATCTACTAAACACTAACTCCCTATTTCCTCCCCCCACCCCACCTGGCAACCACCATTCTACTTTCCCTCTGTGAACTTCACTACTCAGGGTACCTCCTGAAAGTGGAGTCTACAGTATTCGTCCTTTTGTGACTGGCTTATTTCAATTAGTATACTATTTTATATTCTTTAACAAATACTTGCACGATGCTTATTAAGTGGTCTGCTTTACAAATGGCACCTCATTTAATGGATATGCCTTATAGGCGAGGAAACCAGTGCACAAATGGTTAAGTAACATGCCTGATGTCATAGCACTGGCTGTGCCCGTCAGCACCCCAATACTCGGCCACCTGTGGTGGCTGGAACACCTGTGGCACTCAGGGCTCACCTGGTCACTTAGGGCAGCCCCAAGCTGCTTTCAGATTGAATTCTCCCTCTCTTTGACTTCTCCCTGCTGGTCCTTATTTTTTTCAGAGGACAGTCCACATAAAGTCCAGCCCTTTTTGAGAAGAGCCTGGTCTTCTCCCTTGTCCCCTCTGGCAGTGGCAGCTGCCAGGTTACCTCTGGGTGTCCGAAGTCCCACAGGACTTGTGTCTTAACTCTTGTTCACATTGTTTGCAGCTTCTGAGGAGGACCATTCAAATTCAGCCTGCTTTGCCTGCATCCTGTTAAGCCACGGAGAAGAGAATCTAATTTATGGAAAAGATGGCGTGACCCCAATAAAGGATTTGACAGCCCATTTTAGGGGGGATAGATGCAAAACCCTTTTAGAGAAACCCAAACTCTTCTTCATTCAGGTAATTCCTTTTCAAAGCCAATATAATTGAAGATGTGAAGAGATTGCACGGTGATGGGGATGGAGTTGTTGTTTCCGTGGGGTATACAAATGTGGGTTTTGTTTTTCTGCCTGAATGGTTGGCATATGTATTTGCATTGGTCACAAGTTACAAAGTTTTAAGACCTTGCAGCACATTTGTTTGCCTAGTAATTCGACACAACATGCACTTGTGTATCAGTTCATCATGTGATGGTTGAGCTCTGGGTATACCAGGCATGGTTCTTGGCACTGGGATGCTGCTACAGTGGACAGTGCACATGTTTGTGCCCAGCCCCATGGAGTGGTCTCTGCTTTGACCTTTAGGCTTGTCGGGGGACAGAGCTGGATGATGGCATCCAAGCCGACTCCGGGCCCATCAACGACACAGATGCTAATCCCCGGTATAAGATCCCAGTGGAAGCCGACTTTCTCTTCGCTTACTCCACAGTTCCAGGTATCAAGTCCATTGGCTCCTGAGTACACCAGCCCATTTCACCATTAACATGCAGACTTGGGGAGTATCGTCGTTTCTACCACTTCATTTATTACTGTAAACCCAGTGGCTTTTATCTTGCAGTACTGGAGGTTAGAATTCCATTTCCTGGCCTTTGCCCAGCATGTCTAAACCTCCCGTGTCCCTTGGCTTGCGGCCCCTTCCTTGCATCTCTCTGATTCCTCTTCTGTCATCACATCACTCCCTTTCTGACCACAGCTGGGAAAGGACTCCTGTTATTAGACTGGGCCCACTAGATAATCCAGCGTCATCTCCCTATTTCAGTCCTATAAACTTAACCACATCTGCAAAGTCTTTTGCACCTAAGGTAACATATTCACAGGTTATTATTCTGCCAACCACAGGGATGTATTCCCTTTTCTGTCCAGGAAAGCTAAATTATCTCATTTATTGTTACTATTATTACTGGTAATTATAACATACATTTCTATAATGCTTTACAATTTAGAATGTTTTTCTTGTCTTTTTCTCCTATCATCTTTATAATAATTGTGTAGGTAGTTAGAAAAGTTATTATTACAGCCTTGATTTTACAGATGATTATTACTGTCCTGATTTTATAGATGAAAACAAAATTAAGCTTGGGTGAGCTTAGTTGATGTGCCAAAGATCAGACAGAGATTTTGGTGTACAAGAGAGCTATGGCTCAAACTAGGCCTCCTTTACTTTGCAACCTGTCTGCAGATACCAGAAAATGCTATAATGAGCAAGCCTGCTTATTGTTTACCAGTCACGGTGTGTGACTGAGTCTGTTCAGTGAAAGTCCTTCCTTTAAAGTTTTGCATAAAACTTCACCAAGTTAGAATTTTCCCCACTGTCAAGTGCTTGGGGCAAAGGTTTTGGTTATAATAAATAGGTTGATTGGGTTTGAAAAACAAGCTCTGGCAGGATCTGTAGATGAGAATTGTGAGAATAATAATTTCACAAGTTTTAAGGATAGTATAAGATGGAAAATGATTTGGTCTTCCTGCTTTCAAGAAGGAGCAGTATCATAGGATCTGTGTACACAAACCCTGTAGCGGAGTCTCAGGTGCACCTGAGGAACTAAAGAAGAAAGGGTGAATGCTGCTAAGAAGGCAGGTGAGAGAGCTCATCCTAAAATTGGGCTGGTGTAACTGAGTCCCCAAAATGCAAACAACAGGGCAAAGAGAAGGATGGCTTGCTGGATAGTGCCGAGGGAAAGCAGCCCAATGCATTTGGTAAAACTCAAGGCTGGATCACAGGATGTGTCAGTCTGCTGGGCTGCTGTAATGATATACTCTAGACAGGGTGGCTCAAACAATAGCAGGTTGGTTCTTTAAGTTATGGAGGCTGGGAAGTCCAAAGTGCTGGCTAATTTGGTTTCTGGGGAGGACTCCCTAGGTGGCTGAAAATGGTCACGTTGCTATATCCTCACATGGCAGGGGGGAGAGAGAGACAAGAATATGAATGAGCTCTCTGGACACCAGTCCTTACAAGGGCCCCACCCTTGTGACCTCATTTAATTATCTCCATAAAGTCTCTATCTCCAAACATAGTCACCTTATGGGGTGAGGCTTCAAAAAATGAGTCTTGGGGGCGGGGACCCAGTTCAGTCCATAGCACAGGGCCTAGCAAGGGTCAAACCCACAGAGGTAGGCAAGGGACCTTGCTGAAGTGGACTCTGGGTATGTACTAAGCAGCCTGAACTTTACCCAGGGAGTCAGAGGATGACACTGCCTTTTGGAATAGTTACCTTTAAGACCTGATAGGGCAGGTTCAAGGGTAACCCAGTCTCACCAGGTTATTAAACTGAGTGAAGTAACACAGGCGACCCCCAGACACACAAATGAAACCGTTGTGCTCATGCCTTCTGCAAGAAAGAATTCCAAGTGTACTTAGTCACTGTACACACACGGGTTATTTCTGTTTACTGCACATCGACTCCGTAACTATTAGAAATGGTGACGACGATCTCCCAGTTCTCATCAAGCTCATCGTGTAAACCAAATGCAACTTTATTTTGTCTCACACCATGAGGTGGAATCTTCCCTTGCCCTGGATGAAAACTCCAGCAGGTTCACAGCTTTGCTCCTCATCCTAGGATAGCTTTGCTCCTCATCCTCTCTCCCAGAGACAGTACTCTGGTCACTTTCTAAAGTCACAAATAGTTACAATACCTCAACCGGGATGTCCAGTCTAAGATAATAACTAAAATCCTCAAACCTGAATTGGCTTTCAGTTTCTCCCCATTCCAGATCAGCCCTACTGCAGGGCTGGGGAGCTCAGGGGGCCTTCATCCTTTAGCTTTCTCATCTCTTGCCAGATCCTCTTTTACATTCTTTCGGTGTCAAATATTAGAGGAAATGGAGTAGGGGTAGGAGACGCAAATGCCACAGTCATCTACCTCTGGTGCTCCAGACCAGGCAGATGATTGAAAGTAGGGGCTTTCAAGTTCCAGTGTTCCCTGGGCCCTGGGCCCTACTCTTTTCCAGGTCAGGCACTGGAATTCCTTCCCCAACTCCCTGGCATCCTCAGGGCACTTGTGCATTCTCTTTCTCCTGAGATCTTCTTGGCCTTTCAACGGAACTTTTAGACAGGACCCAGGGCAGCCCAAAAGCCAGCCTCCTCTCCCATAGACCACATGTGGTCCGTGAGAAAAGCACATCCCTGCCCTCACAGTGGGGGCTCTCCTAGGCCAGTGGGCCCTCCTGGCTCTACCCCTAAGCAAGTGGGCACTTAGCTACCTCTTGCCTCTGGATTTCTTTAGTAGGACCCAACTCTAGATCACTGTCCCCCAGCAGCAGAAACACATCTCACAGTTCTCTGAGGTTCCCTCTAGATGCCCTCTCTAGGCTTGGATTAGATAGTAGCCCTGACCCGAAAAGGATGGTGAGGAGTTCCAGAGTTAGGAACTGCATGTCTTTAGAAGTCTTCATGTGCAGACTGGTCTCACACTCATGTATCTGATAATCATCATGCAGGAACTTCCATCAAAACCAGTGCAGGAGAGCTCCCTCACCCCGTGTGATGTTATGTGCCAGCATTTTTGAGCATCTTCATGCATCCCTCTAAATCAAAGATGTTTGCTCCCTGAGCACACCAGCATAATCCTCATCGGTGACCTGTGTGCAGAGTAGGGTGAGATAATTTCCAAAAAGCAGGTGCAAAGGCCCTGAACACTGAAAGCTCGTTGAGCTGGGTGAGTGGAGCAGCTAGCTGAATTGGCAGATCTGACCTTCTCCTTTCTCTCCTGTTGAAGGCTATTATTCTTGGAGAAGCCCGGGAAGAGGTTCCTGGTTTGTGCAGGCCCTCTGCTCCATCCTGGAGGAGCACGGGAAAGACCTGGAGATTATGCAGATCCTCACCAGGGTGAACCACAGGGTGGCCCGGCACTTCGAGTCTCAGTCGGATGATCCACGCTTCCACGAGAAGAAGCAGATCCCGTGCGTGGTCTCCATGCTTACCAAAGAACTCTATTTCTCTTAGTAACCGTTCCAGGGTGCATTCTAGTTCAGAAGCTATGGATCATTTGTCGATGAATCAGATGTTTTTTAATGCTCTTAAAATATCCGGAAAATCCACGGGATTTTAATTTCAGGAAAATTTATTGATTCAACAGGGAAGAAACTTTCTGGTGCTGTTGTTATGTTCTCTGAATTTTCAGAGACTTTTTTTTTTTACAATGTTATTCCCCGGATGACTTTGTAATTTCCTCTTAGGGTTAATTTTCTCTTCGTATTTCTTTCACTTTGTTATTGCACTTAGTACATGCAACCAAAGTGACCTCTGGAGAAGACCGATGGCTTTGTCCACTGTAATTGGTGGTGACACTGGTAGAGAGTCAGAGTTGGATCTGCACTTGGCAAAGACAATCCCAGTGTTTGACAGAATAGCCAATATTGGCCTATATTGTAGAAAGTGGGTATTGAGTGTGACTTGAGTGATTTTTTTATTGGCTTAGGGCAGATTCTCATGCATACATTTCTCACCTACATTAGAGGAGAAAACAAATCTAATGATTCATATGTATCAGTCTGGAAAATAGAAATGTTTAGGTGTTTCAGTAGAGGGAATTTTTATTTTATTTTTATAGAGACAGGGTCTCACTTTGTCACCCAGGTTGGTCTCAAACTCCTAGGCTCAAGCCATCCTCCTTTCTTGGTCACCCAAAGTCCTGGAACGACAGGACTGTGCCTGGCGAATAGAGATAATTTAATACAAGAAATTGGCTTATATAGATTATAAGAGAAGCCAAATAGCAAGACTTTGTTCCCACAACTAAGGCTCTGAGGACAATGGCAAGAGGCATGGTTTCCTAAATCTAAAAGCTCAGATCATCGGAGGATCTAGAAGCATGGTGGGACCTGCCTGGTGAGAGCGAGGACCACCAAGGGATTGTGGGAAATGGAGCCATTGCAAGGACAAAGCCATTCCCTGAGAGAGAGGCAAGACCAGGTCTGCATCAGACGTGGAGAAATACCCTGGCCTCGCCTCTCCTGCCCGCAACTCTTCTTACCATTCCAGCCCTACCTGGAAACGACCTAGCCAAGGCCCTTGGGAGAGCGGTTTACTTGATAAGAGCAGAGCAAGGGACAGTGAGGTGGGGGAGGAAAAAGAAATGGATGTGAGCCTTGCCCATAATGTGAATGTAAGCGAGTGTGTTCCCTGATGTTCGACAGTTTACCCATTCAACCATTTATTTGTTGGGTTGTCAGATAATCTACGTATGTGCAAGATAATCTGTTTCATCTCTGCAGTATATCTGGAACTTTGTAGATGATTTCAAATCTTATTCTGAATAAAATTTTTGTTACCTCTGGTTCTATCAGTGTGGAACAGTTTATGGGCAGAGATTTTTGACACTTTGTTTTCAAGGTAGTGTTATCTTTTGAATTCCCCATAAAGTGCCATGTTTTTTTCCTGCCTAATAACTGGTTAACATAATGTTCGTATTTATTGATTAAAACGTGATTGCCTAATTCCTAATTAGCCTGGCTTGATTTCCTTTTAGAGTTGCTTATGGCAGTAAGGAAATACGAAAACAGGATGAAAATGATCCTCCTGACTTGCCATCACACAAAATATAACACATGACTTTTCAAAGCTGGTATGCTCATAAAATAATCACTGGGAAGCTGAGACTTTTCACACAAAGGGTTAATCAACTTTTAAAAATGTTTGTGTTGGGCTGCCACTCATTAATTTGGCAGCAAAATCAGCTAGTGTAAAAGTATCTTCTTTCAAATAAGGAAGCTAAATTAGAGCCAGTTATTAGACTTGTCCCTGGTTTCCTGCCATCTAAAATATCCCAAATGTTCAAAATTTAAGTGGACACCATGAATCAAGAATCAACAGACATCTACCTTACTATTCCCAGAATTCACAGGCTGTTCTTTGGAAAATAAGTTATCGTATTGAAGGTCCCCATCATCGAAATAAACGTGGCTAAGTGCATTGTAATCTGAAATAAAAACCGTAGCCCTCTATGTAGCTGACTTGTAAGCTTCATGAAAGGGAAAGAATGATCCCAAGTATCAGTGTTAATTTTTTCTTAGTTCTCTGGGAAGTTGTAGGTTACAGATAACAAATACCGTCTCCTATCCCTTAGATCAGAGGTAAAATCGCTGTTAAGAGTCTTTGTTTATCAAGTCACTTTAACAAGTCACTTGTTTATCAAGATCAGAAATCCTCCTCCGAGTTGTAGGTTTTCAGTCACACCAACATTCTTGAACTTTACTTTGTCCTTTTATTTTATGAAGTTTCTGATGACAAGTTACCCTAAAGGAGCATTCAGTCCTGGTAAATACACATTCCTGGTTCACACTGCTGTTGAGGACCGAAGTTCTGCCTTGCAGGAGGAGCAGCCGGGAGCCCTGCTCTCATCCTACGAGGAGGACAGCTCCGTCTGCAGCCTCCTGACTGGCGAAATGGGCTCTACCCTGGGTTTCTGTTTGCGTTTCTCCTTTTCCTCACGATGCCACTAGAGTACCTGTTTAAAGTTCTAGTCGTTATATATTCCCAGCTTCGGGCTCTACCCTGAGCTTTTTCTCTGAACGCATCCACGAACCCATTATGTTTATGAATTGTTCAAAATCGGTCTCAGCATAAAGTAGGAGGTTCATTGTCATCACATGCTTTAAGACCTGGAGCAAACCAAGGCCCCTGTGTGAGAAAGAAAATGACATCCCCTGACAGGTCCTAGACACAGGTGGACACATCCTTTATTTTGTCTGTTCTTGTGGCTCATCCTTGAAAGCTTGTTACCAGCTACACTGGTGACCAAAGATTGCCTTTGGATCTTTCCTCTTCCACAAAACATCTAGCCAGGTGAGCGGCTGTGCTGTGCTGCTCACCTATTTCTAGCAGTGATTCTTCTCTGTCAGTAGGCCAGGGAACAAATAGCAGTAACTTCTGTTTATGTCTAGTTACTTCTGGGGCATGTGATTTTTACAATTTTTGGCCGGGGCTGGGTTTGAACCCGCCTCCTCCAGTATATGGGGCCAGTGCCCTACTCCTTTGAGCCACAGGCCCCACCCATGGGGCATGTGATTTTTAAGAGTTCTTCAGCCATATGCAGATGGAAAGACTCTCCCACACTGTTTGCCTTGTGAATGTTTTAGTGTCTTGCATGGTGGAGGGAGTGTGTGGGTGAGTCCACCGATCAACAGCACCAGCATTCCCTGGGAGCTGGTCAGAAATGCAGACCTTCAGGCTCCACCCTGACCCCCTCAATGTGAATTTGCCTTTCACCAGATCGTGCATGCATTACAATTCAAGCAGCTCTGTTTTGAGGGCAAGGACCACCATATAAATATATGTTTTATCTCCCTTCTGCCCTGAACATGGAGCTAATAGCATAGCAAAAAAATGAGTAAAAGAACATATTTGGTTTGAGCTTTCCTGAAAGACCTGTGGTGGAGGCTCTCTTAACCTTCAGCACAACCCTCTCTTAAAACTCCAGAATACCCTTAAGTTACATGGTATACTTCTTACTCTCTGTGCCTATCTCCATTTTAAATAAACCTCTGCTGAGTGATAGAACAGGATTGGCTACGTGTTCTCAAAGAGTGTGCCAGTGTGAACTGCAGTTGTTAAAATGTCCTCATAAACAGAATGGGATTTAGGGAGCCATTCCTTGCACGTTTTCGTTTGTAGCAGAACTGTTCTCCATTGAAGCCTTGGAGGGCGTCTCTTCCTACCTGTCCTTGGAGCCCTGTGGACATGAGGAGAATTATTACCTGTCCTTGCCAGTCTGCCCTCAGCTTACAGGTCACTATTGGGATAGACCGCAGTACTTTGTTTAGGATCAAACGGCAAATAATTCTTTTTGATTTACTAATCATTAACACAAACACACTAAAAGAACATATTTGGAAAGCCTTGGCCACCTCCATAGTACCATTGTGGACACAGAAATTCCATTAGCTTGTAGACCAATGCATGAACAGCCCTCTAAACGTATGTGACCAACATTTGAAATCACCAAAGTCAAATGCAATGAGTTGGCTTTGGTGTGAGTTTTGGTTTGTATGACTTTATGAATATTTATGGCACTAGTGTTCTCTTTCAAATTTGTTTTAGGCATTTAAAGCTAAACTATGTCAAAGGATTTAAATTTGGAAGGCATGTGGGGTTATGGCTGCAGATAGGCAAAGCTGAGCATTTCTTGAGCTCTGATGGTCTGATCCAGGCAAATAGCATGAGATTCAGGAAGGATTTGGGAGAGGGGAGTTTAAAGGGCAAGATGGGTCTGACCCACCTTGCTAGTTCCAGCTTCAGTTGTTTAAGGCAGATCTCAATCAGCATGGGGTCAAACTTTTTGGCAGAGATGCTTTTAACCATGAGTGTTTAAAAATTAGGCTCTGAGTCCAATCCAAATTCTAATGCCAGCTCTGTCTTTTGACCATCAAATACTCATGTAACTGTAGACAATCCTGTCATTTCCTCATCTACTTATAAGGCTAGTGATGCAAAGATTAGATGATATGTCTGTGAAGTCCTTAGTGCAATGCTGGGAACAAGGTGGTCAATAAGCAGTGAATATTGAAAGTGGTGGTGATGATGACCTGAGCCTCCTGGACAGGCAAGAATGCAAGGCGCTCGGCTAGACTCTCCACATGCTCTTTCTGCCTCGAGGATCACTCCTTGATCATGTCTTCCAGCCTATGCGTTCAAACTGAGGCCTTCCAGAAGTGCAGAGATTATGCCAAAGATTCATTTAGTCAACAGCCCTTGAAAGAGTTGTTCTAAGTGCCAAATGTTACATAGGAATGGGGTTTTAAAAATGACCGAAGAAATGATGCTCACCCCAGAGGTGAGCAAACCACTCCAGTAAAATCTAACAGTAACCGAGTTGTGCATGCAGTACTCCGGAACCCCGGCGACGAATGTCCCTCTGCCTGGGGATTCAGACAGGGGTTCCCAGAGGAAATGCCAGTTTCCACTCCAGCCTCCCAGCAGGCTGAGGGAAAGGCAGTGGAGAGGAAACTAACGGAGCAGGTAGAAGGCGGAGTTGTTTTACTCTGGTGAGTCTCCATATTTAGGGTGCCTGAGAATTCCTGGAAGAACTGTTTATGAAGAAAATTCCTGTGCCACACCTCGTCCCCATAGCAATTCAGTAGTTCCGGGGCGGAGACCAAGAACGTGCGTGTCTAACCACCCAGCCTGGAGATTCTGATGTAGGTGGCCCTCCAGTCCCAGGCAGGCTTTTTACTGATACCAAAAGGCTCCCTTGCAGTCCTGCACAACTGACAGCAAAGCCTGATTTGAACAACCACACAAGATCACTAAGGGGCCAGCAGTACCTTGGCTGTCGGCACCTGGCACCAGGGCAACTTTCGAGGAAGGCTGTGAAGTGGCAGGGAGCAGCAGCTGAGCACGCAGCTTTTCAAGAAGTCCGGGTGCACTGGCTTCCCCAGCTGGTGGGCAGGCGCACCTCTCTCCTCTTCCTCCCTGCTGAATAACGCAGGCAATCATTTCTAGACAAGATGGGCCACTCAGGTCCTCTCCTCCCCAAATGTTCCCTTCCAACAACATTTTTAGGTCGACATTTCTAAAAGGGACCTTTTTCTCCATAAACACCTTT